AGAGAGAGAGAGAGAGAGAGAGAGAGAGAGAGAGAGAGAGGAGAGAGAGGAGAGAGGAGAGAGAGAAGAGAAGGGGAGAGAGAAAGGGAGAGAGAAAGGGAGAGAGAAAGGGAGAGAGAAAGGGAGAGAGAGAGGGAGAGAGAGAGAGAGAGAGAGAGAGAGAGAGAGAGAGAGAGAGAGAGAGAGAGAGAGAGAGAGAGAGAGAGAGAGAGAGAGAGAGAAGAGAGAGAGGTCGATAGATAGATAGATAGATAGATAGATAATAGAGATAGATAGATAGATAGATATAGATAGACATCTGCATATATATATATATATATATATATATATATATATATATATATATATATATATATATGTATACACACACACATGGATATACATATGTATATGTTTGTGTGTGTGTGTATATGTATTTTTGTATCTTATATTTGCACACACACACACATACAAACACATGTACGTGTATGCGTACGTGTGTCCTTGTATATGTGTATGTATTTGCTTATGTGTGTGCGTTTGTATCTGTATGTATAGGTGTGTGTGTTGTCTTTATGTAGAAACCTGTGTCTGTATGTAGACCAGTCAATTGATAAGACTAAAGACTGAAGTTTGCATGTTTAACCCTGGTATTTACCCCATCTAATTACCGCATTAAGTGGTTGCCGTCCTCGAGTGACCCTCTGAAGCTGTTAATTTATCATGTCGAATATTAGCCTATCAACGGACCCTCTTGCTCCTCTTTATCAACATCTTAACGACCTCTAGGTAAATACCAGTTTCTGGAAGAGGGTTGAGAGAGAGAGAGAGAGAGAGGGAGAGAGAGAGAGAGAGAGAGAGAGAGAGAGAGAGAGAGAGAGAGAAGAGAGAGAGAGAGAGAGAGAAGAGAGAGAGAGAGAGAGAGAGAGAGAGAGAGAGAGCGGAAGAGAGGTGTGGACAGAGAATGAGAGTCGGAAGGGCAGGTAGGAAAAGAGAAGGGCGTCCAGGACCAAACACACTGACCAGGGCTGAGAACGCGGGATCCTCGTTGTCGCGGGGCTGAGTTTCGGTGAACGAATGCGTGGCAGAGTGTGCATGATTTGTAAAATGTGATGATAAGTAACATGTACCCTGTTGTTTGCGTTTCTGTATACACCGTTTATTTCAGGGTCGAGTTCCTCTTAGTCGACATGGCATTGAATGTGTCGGCTTGTTACTTATGCTGTCTAGTGATAATAAGGCAAATAAGAATGGATAATGATAAAGATAATGACATAAAGAGTAACAATAGGAATACTAATGTTCATAACAAAAACAACAACAATGATAATGATGATGCTATGGTAATAATGATAATACTACTAATAGTAATGATGAGGATAATAAACGTTTTATTGGATAATATAAAATGATTAAAATGATAATAATAATGATGATTATGAAAATAATAATCATAGTCATGGTTATAATGATAATAGTAATGATAATAATAAATATAATGATGATAAAACAATGATTAATGATGGGTAACAGTACTAATGATAATACTGATACTGATAATGATCTTAGTATTTATAACAACAGTAACAATAAAAGAAATAATAATGATAACAATAATAATTATAATGATAACAATAAAATAATAATTTATAATATAATTAATATAATAATATAAATAATAATGATTATAATAATATATAATATATAATAATAATAATTAATATATTATTTAATAACGATAATAAAATAATTAATAAAATAACAATAATAATATCCGATTAATAATGAATAATAATAATGATAATAATGATAATGATATAATAATAATAATATAATAATAAAATTAATAATAATAATGGATAATAATAATTAGTTAATCTAAATAATAATAAATCTATTATTAGTTGATAATTATAATAATGATAATGAGGATAAAAAAAAAGAAATAGTAGATCATATATGGTGATGATGATAGTGGTAGTGATGATGTGAACATGTATTATCACACTGATATCAAAAAGAGAAAAATCTGTTACAGACATTTTGTTGTATATGTACATCCCACATTCTTATGTTCAACATGATTTATATCGGCACAATTGATTCCAGATTTTGATTACATTTTCAGACTGAATTATATGTCTGAATTAACGCAAACCTCCCCCTACCTGCATTATCCGAATTCGCGTTCCAGTTATTGGCGTAGAATGCGCGTTTATGCACTCGGTTTAGGGGATAGCTTTGTATGTGCATTTGTGCATGCATTTTTGTGAATTGCTTCTCTGTGGGTTCATGTACATGTTTTTCTATGCATGTTTACATATAACATTTCTAATATTGCTTTTTTCATGTGTGTGAAAGTTCGTTTTGTTGGTGTTTGTTCTTTGATGTTGGATAGAGTTAATTGCCTCTTTTGATATTCATGTTTGTTACTTGTTATCTAATTATTAATCTACCATCTCTCTCTCTCTGTCTCTCTCTCTCTCTCTCTCTCTCTCTCTCTCTCTCTCTCTCTCTCTCTCTCTCTCTCTCTCTCTGGATATATGTTTCTCCCTCTAACCTCTTTTATATTCTATCGTTTATTGCTGCTGTATGTATTTTTTATCAAAGAATAATCGCACAGCGATTCAAATTTCCTCGCGTTTCGGTTTGCATTTCATTTTTCTCTTTGGTCTCCAGTTCCTATATCATTTTTGTTTGTATGTTTTGTGTACATGTGCACCCCTCTTCATCGTGTGGATTAAAAACGCACATTGCTTCACGTACAATCGTAGATCATACACTTCTACCTTCTCTCGGACTTACACTGAAATACTACACGAATGCAACGCCAGCACCTCAAACGCTAATAAACATCTGTACAGCAACGTATCAGTGACTGCGCGTCGGCACGCACTCCGAATGCGGATCCATATACCTTCATATCTGGAAACAATACAAGTCGGACGAAAAGACAAATAGATGATTTTACGGAATAAAATTACAACAGATGCCTATCTACTATTAAAGACATGTATTTAGGCGAATTCTCTATAAAGAAACACGCATGTAAGTACAAAGGCGAACGCACCCAGGTCGACAATCGCGCACGCACACACGCACAGCTGACCACAGCTTAAAGCGAATTCCCATCAGTTGACTCTCCCTTGGCTAATTCCCAGTTGATAATTCCCTCGACCGGCGAGCACTTCCATCCAGGTGATTCTCAACGACTAATTCCTCTTTCATTATTCCGAGTCAATAATTTCCGCTAGTCTTAATTAATGCCGAGTGAAGGATGATTTCAATATGATTTTGCCATCGCCGGCATTGCCAAAGATGGCGATTGGACCGAATGACGGCGAGGATTCTCACATTCCTCAAAGATCAAGAACTCAGTGTATCGACGTTCGGGGATATGAAGGCATGCTTATCAATTTTATCTAAAACTGCATTATCTCACAGCGTCTATGTGACAGAGCTAACAATGTGTTCTTACCATGAGAATTTCTTGTCCCAAAATATCATGTGTTACCATGGCATGCCGCCGCTTCGGCCCGATAGCCAAGTGGAAGCATAACACCTGAATATGATTTCACTGCAGCATGATTGACAAAGGGTCAGCGTCATTATCTTTGAGTATTTATCTTTTGATGCAATATTGCCATTACTCAATACTAACGAGATGAGATATTTGTCTCAACTCCAACTCAGAAAGACTGGGTGACAAACATAAAGAGAAGGAGGAAGAGGGGGAAGTAAAAAGGTGAGAGAAAAAGAGAGAGAGCGACAGAGAGAGAGAGAGAGAGAGAGAGAGAGAGAGAGAGAGAGAGAGAGAGAGAGAGAGAGAGAGAGAGAGAGAGAGAGAAGAGAGAGAGATGAGAGAGAGAGAGAGAGAAGAGAGAGAGAGAGAGAGAGAGAGAGAGAGAGAGAGAGAGAGGAGAGAGGAGGAGAGAGAGAGAAGAGAGGGAGAGGGAGAGGGAGAGAGATAGGGAGAGGGAGAGAGATAGGGAGAGGGAGAGGGAAATGGAAAGGGAGAGAGAGAAAGAGAGAGAGCGAGAGAGGGAGAAGACAACACACACACACACAGAAAGAGAGAGATAGAGAGAGAGAAACAGAGACAGAGAGAGAGTGGGGTGGGGGAAAGAGAGAGAGAGGAACAGAGACACACACACCACAGAGAAAGAGAGAGAGAGAGAGAGAGAGAGAGAGAGAGAGAGAGAGAGAGAGAGGAGAGAGAGAGAGAGAGAGAGAGAGAGAGAAAGAGAAGAGAGAGAGAGAGAGAGAGAGAGAGAGAGAGAGAGAGAGAGAGAGAGAGAGAGAGAGAGAGAGAGAGAGAGAGAGAGAGAGAGAGAGAGACAGACAGTCAGAGACAGAGAGAGAGAGTGGGTGGGAGAGGGAGGGGATAGGAAAGAGAGAAATTGAGAGAGAGGGGGGGATACAAATACATAAAAATGTGTGGAAATATATATATAATGCATTATATACACACAAACTAACACGCACATACACAC